TACCCTTTGACCAATTTGACCAATACTAAACCCTTTGACCAACTGGTCAAATTGGTCAAACTGGTCTGGTCAAGCTTTACCATTGACCGGTCTGTGCCAACCCTGTGTATATTATATTAAAATTGAGATTTTTATTACCTCCGGCTGTGATTTTCTCTATAACTACCAATCTAAATTGGATTAAATTTTTACTGGAAACATATCTTCGCTCAAAGTTAGAGAGAAATTTGGCGCAGCTTCTATTTTGCTAGGCTCTCTAATTTTGAGCAAAGATATCTCAACAACCACATGGCTAAATTTGATGGATTTTTTTTTATTTGAATTCCATAAATCCATAGAATTCAAATATAAAGTTTTATCAGATTCAAGCAGGTAGTTGTCGAGTTATCTTCGCTCAAAGGTTTTAAAATTTTTATTTTTACCGGGATCTGCATGTGTAGGTTTAGGTGTATCAAAAATGAAAGTTTCGCGGCGGTGCTACTACACGTTAGGTGATTTCATTAGTAAAATTCCGAGTAATTCCGGCCTAGTTTTTTGATCGTCGGATCTGCCGCGCATTTTTTAGGTTCAATCATATATAATATGTAAAAACTTAGTATATATATACAATAGCAGAGTAACGCTTATTAGTCAAGATAAAAATTCTTTAGCGAAAGGCGAAAGTTTCCGAATATATCTATATTCGATTTCATTAGGTCATTGGCTTTCATGGTAGACAATTAGTTTAAATCAGATGTTGTATTTTACAACTATGTAAATACAAATCTAAACCTATCTCAGGGAGTTACCGTAAAATATGGAAAATAAGCACAGCACCCTCTACCCTACTTTTTCAATTCAGATTAATGGGAATAACTTGATTAAAGATTTTTATTGCTATTTCCGCTAATCTGAAATTGAAAAAAATAGGGTAGAGGGTGCTGTGCTTATTCTCGGTAATTAAATATCAATTTAGAATTATACGTACGCATATGTTGTAGAATTTAAGTGGATTCGGAATTTCAGGTAAAATAGGGTGGGGTATAGGTTTATATCTGATAAAATCTACCCTAAAATTATAAACCAAGCTTCATCTATCCATGATATAAAAATCTCGTGAAACGGTAATGCATTAAATAGAACGTCATTCAATCACACTGATGTCTTAAGAATCTTTAACGATTATCTATCGCTATCATTCAATCATATGATAAACTTAATTAAAATAAAGGCAATTAAATAACTAGGTCTTTGTATAAAAATTATGGTTGTCTTTTCAAAGCCTGTTGACAGATTGCCGGTGCCTCTACAAGCAGTTTTGGAGCCAGTTACTAGTAATGCTCCACGACAGCCATATAGCAAGACCAAAGTTATTGCTTCCGCTGCAATTATATCTCTAGCTGCTTATATTACAAACTATATTTACCGAAGACGACTCGAAAATTTTGGCTCTCAAACTATATCTCCATTATCAGGAACGAGTAGTAAATTTGACGTTTTCGAGGGTCCAACGCCCGGAAATAACAAATATACCTTGACAGTACCTTATAAAAATCGTACCGCGAAAGTTACTATCCGCCCAACTTCCACTGAAACTTTTAAAAAGCACAAGAAATTCTTTCCTCCCGTTACTAGTGCTCAAAGAGTTGGAGTAAACAAAGTTTTTTTTAAGCAACTTTCTGCGATTTTTAAAGTTATCATACCAAAAATCAGATCAAAAGAAGTTATTATCTTGGTGCTACATTCTATATTTCTGGTGTTAAGAACATGGTTAAGCATTGTTGTGGCAAAGCTGGATGGAAGAATTGTTCGAGATCTAGTATGTGTTAACTTAAAGCTATCATAATTTATTATTATTATTTATTAATATTTTTCATGTCACAAAGGTTGCTGCGAATGGAAAAGAATTTCTTAAAGGAATAATGTATTGGTTTGCTATAGCAATTCCAGCGACATACACAAATAGCATGGTAAGTATTAATATCTCATGAGTTAATGATCGCCTGTCA